AGTGACAGAGATCGGGATAAAAGAGGCCGCAGCCACAGCCACAGCCACAAGAGCACTGGGAAGAAACAGAAACATCGGAAGAGATCTTTGAGCAACCAAAGAAGCACTTGGAGTAGGTAATAGAGGAATTATCTTTTTCTAAGGGCTATTTTGGAAAAAAAAACTGCAAAGATATCTGCTTTGTCTGCCTCGCAGAGAAAAAGGAAACTGAATTTTTTACTTGAATGATTTGCAGACTTAAAACATTCATAGCACCCTTTTCAAAACATATCCTTTTGTGACTTAATTGTCAATGGTTTCCTGGCTGTTGATTTTGATTGTTCTTGCTCACATTGAAACTGTGATAGCCAGATTAGTTTCACTTATTTCCAGTATCCAGTTGGGTTCTTTTTAGTTGGTAATGACTGTAATCATAGCAGTTTGTTTAGAAATTGGCATGTATATGTTTCTAATAAAAATGTAAACTTGATAGTTACTACATACTTGGTTGGTTAAAACTCAGTAATTCCATGCAGGACTTTTTGCTATCTTGACTGGTGCTAGATGCAACCATATTTTTATATAGTGCTGTAATGCCTTCTTTGCTATTTTTGCCAACTGAATTATTTCCTTGACCTTGAATGGTCGTGTTGTTTTACAGGTTTTGAAGCTGTGTTCCATTTCAAAGCAAATATTCAGGATTTGGGTGGGAAAGAGACTTCCAAGAAAGTAGATTACATCGTTTCTGATGTATCAATATTTGATTTTCCCCCTCCCCTTAAATGCAGTTTTGAGGCATCTATATTTGAAAGAAGGGCTTTTCAGCTAAGTAATATATATGTGTGTAATGTTCAGGTTCAAAGTTATATTTTCTCCCTTTATAACATCTTTGCTTCGAGAAATGAAGCTCAGGAATTTCTCCAAAATATTTTCATAGTGCAAACCAGCTTTCTTACCATTTAATGGTAAAACTGCAAAAGCCATTGCCAGTGAATACGAACTGCTTTGTGTCTGGAAATAATAAAGATCTATACATACTACATTAAATATGACTTTGCTTGTGTTTGAAGTATTATTGACTTCTACAGAAGTCATCCCAGAAAGAAAACAGCTGCTCTTCCTGCAGTGTCATCCAGGCCTGCTCCTTCCCCAGAGCCATCTCGCAAATAGGCGTTGCAGCTGGGAAGGTTCAGAGGGCAGCATTCTGACTGCCTTCACAGAGCACCAGCTCGTCACCCCACCAAAGTGGTACCATCAGAATGCCAGTTTTATTTCACATAATTATCTACTGTGTAAAATAATTCTACAAAGCTAATTGATACAGAAATTCTAATACTATTCTGATAATAATACAGATTTGAACGAAGCAACATAAAGATGGTTGAGGGCAAAGAACCCAATGGTCTGCCATGGACCGCAGGTTACTACAGTTGCAAATTGAAAGTATGCAACACTATAAATTACTTTTGAATCTCAATGTTTACCAGCTTGTGACTACCATATGGAAGTTAAAATTTACATGTTTTGTTCCATTAAACTTTAGAGCTGAGCAATGCCTATGGATTCATTCTTTTTTATGCTTTAGAGCTTAAATGTGACTCCTGTCTGCAATACGGTGAAGTGGCTAGTTTTTCTGAGGAACCAGGAACCAGATCTTTTAATGTCATGGGTGCAATATTGGCATGCTCCTAAGCACCTTTTGGAGATTGAAGACTGCACAGCCCTAGCGAGCACATTTAACAAGCACTGCCTTAATGGTTTTTATGGTAAATGTCCAAAGCTGATTCTGCAACAATATTTTCTCAACTAACTCATCTTACCTTCATCCCAGAAGAGGCCATGAGAATTGAAACATTTATTTACAGTACATAGACATCTTTCAAATTTATACAGTATCCCATCTAATGAAAAATTGAATCTGGGCAGCATACAACAAGACTGTAAAACAGTTAATATATAAACATAATTAGAAGTAATCCTTGACTTATAACAGGTTGTTTAATGACTGTTCAAAGTTATAATGTGCACTGAAAAAGGGACTTATGACATTTTTTCAAACTTATGATCATTGCAGTATCCATATGGTCATGTGATCAAAATTCAGATGCTTGGCAACTGACTCATCTTTATGACAGTTGTAGCATCCTGAGATCATGTAACCTTTTGTAACCTCACAAGCAAAGTCAATGGGGAAGCCAGATTCATGTCACAACTGTGTTACTAACTTATCAACCGCAGTGATTCACTTAACAAGAAAGATTGTAAAATGGGGCAAAGCTCACTTAACAAAAGCAACAGAAATTTTGGACTCAGTTGTGGTCGTACGTTGAGGACTACCCGTATTACAAAAATTAAAAGATCACAGACTAAGGGAGAACAACAGATGTTCATAACAATGGAGCATACCTCCCGGGACTGATGTCATTACAAGGTCTTGAGAAACTTCCAGAAAACCAACTGGGATAGAGCCAGCCACAGTTTGAAGGGAGGAATGGGGGAAGAAAATGATCTGTAAGGTAGGTACCATAACAGAGAAGATCTGCCTTCTGAGGCTGACCAAATGTAGCTCTCTAGCAAATGGAACCAGTAGTATGCTTTCTTCTGCTGGATCTAAATCTATAAATAGAATATTTAGATGGAATAAATATTGTTTCTGTAGTTTTTAATTTCCATATGCATCTTGCCTTTGTTACTCCTATAATATATTAACAAAATATATTGATTTATATTTGTTAAGAGTAATATAGTAATTAGAGTATTGGGTTTGCTTTTCAGGGACTTAAGATTTGAAACCTCATCAAATCCACATATACTATAAAACTCATACTTCATCTTGGTTCAGTCATGTTTTTTCCAGGTGACTTTTACATTGAAGAGTTGCTGATCAGAGAACAGCTGCTACTAGTGACTTTGAGACTCATTTCCTGGGACTTCTTTTTAAACAGTCTGGCTCAGCTGAGCTTAAACACAGAAATTTACAAGAATGAATATGTCTGTAGCTGAAACAACTCTGGAGGATTCTTACAGATTCAGTCTTCTATTGCCACTAATCAACCAGATAAAAATACTTTTAGATGAAGTACTGATTTAAATTTATTAGCAGATACTAACATCTCCTAGTTAAAAAAAATATGTTCCCATATATCAGAACTTTTTTTTTGTCAATTGTAAGTGAAAAAGAGGTTCTGTTTTGCATCTACTGAGCCTGTGAAGAGAGTATTCTCTTATATTCTTTTCCAGAGGCAACTTAAAACAAAGACAAAATAATTCCCTGAAGTGAAATGTTTTAAAAGCTATTTGTCAGTAAATTGATAATAATAAGAGACAAGGACTTTGCAAGCAAGATTAGTCACCACATAACTGAATTCTGAACTGCCTTAAGTTAAATGTTCAATGGCAACTATGCAACCTCTGTAGAATGGATGCGGAATGATGACCTATTTGCCAATCTCAGGTTTGGAACTTTTACTTTGTTCAACCAAGATCTAGAAAGTTGTATAATCTATTTTCCCCTAGCTGATTAAGCATAATCAATCTGATCTATTTTCCCTTAGCTGATGAAGCATAATCAATCTGAGGAACATTAACACTGGCTTCATTCTTCCTTTTAAATTGACAAGTCTATTTAAATCCCAAAAGACTGGCATTAGGCCTTTATATTCCTACCTTTAAGAAGGATAGCCCATCTGTTGACCAGTTGGTTTTTTAAGCATTATTAGTAAGGCAGGCTTTTTCCAGGTCAGACTCTCCAAATTAAATTATTGGTTTTACACCCCCTTGGGGGCAAATGTAAACAAAAATCAAAATTGGGCCTTCCTACAGTGGTGATTTTATTTCAAAGGAAAATATTTTGTAAAATTTAATACCTCTTCAATAGGCCATCAATATGCTTACCTTTATATATAAATTACGTAACAATACTTGTGTCTATGACATAATACCACAGTCATCTAAAGGAAGTGAAACAACTTATAGGAGAATAAAGCAAGGATGTCTGTTTCCCAACATTAAAACATTGGTGAATGTGAACAATTCCAGTTCTATCTCATTTTTAATTAGTAATCATTTATATAAAACAAGGTGATTGTGCAGAATTTGCAATGTGCTCAATCAGTTTAGTTACAGGAACATATAATCCTCTTCACTATTTTGATGTAAGATTCTAGTAAATCCTTTTAGCTGATTATCTCTATATCCACAAGAAGCAGCTGCTATTTAAATTTCATCTCCTTTTGTATCGATTTTAATCAATGATGCAGTTTATATTTTAAAATTACAACAAAATTTTGCTTTATGTTAAGTCTGATTTCTACTGATAACTTGCAGAATAAAATTAATATTCCATTGTCTTCTGGTCCTTCTTCCTCCCCTCCCCTCTCCTCCCCTCCCCTCCCCCCCCTCTCCCCCACTGTCCTATCCCCTCCCCATCCCTGTCCTCTCCTCTTTTGCATCTCAGTTCCCTTTTTTTTATATTGCCTATGTAATGTATGCCAATTGGTCCAATTACTGATCAAACAACCAAGTTATCTTTGTTAGTCTTAGTAGGTTTTTTTTTTTAATGTAAACTAAAATATTTACAATATATTGCTACGGAACAAAAAGCAGAATGTAATTGCATGATTGGAATCACATAAATATTAACCGACAAACAGACAACCATATATTAGATTAAAAATCACAGCCTTACTTACAATTGGAGTAAGCCTACTGAACGCAACGTATGTCATGATAAGCCTGTCTCATTTTAAATTTCAATTTAATTTTTTTAAGCATGATTATGTTTAAATCCACCATTATGTATTTAAGAATGAGTCAGTATTTTCTTTTAACTCTTGTCCTATGAGATTTCCAAGTACTCTATATTAATTGGATAAATAAATCTATGTTGTTAGGAGATTAGCCTACATCAGCACATTTGTGGAAGTACAGAACACACGTGTTCAGTTCAGTTGGATCACCCAGAATGAGTTTATTTAAATGAAAAGCACAAAAGCGTTTCTCTTGTTTGTCTCAGAAGAAGAATGAGCTCTGCAAAAGAACTCGGCTATCCTCACATCTTAATTCAGTACCAGAATGGATTTCTAGTATCTAAGGTAAGATAAGATAAGGTGTTCTTAAATAATGCATTTGAGAACCTAAATTAATGAATTAATTTCCAAAATAGTTGGCTGTAATAGTTATTTAAGAAAAGGCACAAGATTAATGACTTGATGATGCAATCAATGAAAACAATGCCCATGAGATTTGTTTCCCCTCACTAATGTAATGGCTTTAATTTTAATTGAACAATTATTGATAGAATGTAGAAATGGATATCACTTGAAGGAATGCCAGCATCAACATAATTGAAATACATGAATTAAGAAAAGCCATAATTTCTGAAGATGATAGATGATAGACAGACAGACAGACTGAATGAATGAATAACGAGCTGAAAAATGAAGCAAAGACTAAATATCTCAACTTTATTATTATGAAGAGTTTTGATTCTTGGATTAAGAACACCTAGTTCTTAGCTATCTGTAAAAATGTAAAAATGACCACAGATTTTCCACAACTTTTCTTATTTATTTACATGTAGAAAATAGAAGGGGAAGGGGGAGAGAGAAGGACAATGCATAATGTAAGAGAATTCTAACTTGATATACTATTACAAAACCTTGGAAAAACCTGGCCATTTTAAACATGCTTTTCAAAAGTTCTTCAGCCCAGCAGTTTTATTTATTTAACAGATAACAGATAATCAGAGTTGGAAGGGACCTTGTAGGTCATCTAGTCCAAACCCCCACCCAAGTGGGAAACCCTACACCATTTCTGACAAATAGCAGTCCAATCTCTTCTTGAAAGTCTCAAGTGATGGCGCTCCCACAACCTCCGAGGGCAAGCTGTTCCATTGGTTGATTGTTCACACTGTCAGAAAGTTTCTCCTTATTTCCAGGTTAAATCTCCCCTTGTTCAGTTTCCATCCATTATTCCTTGTCTGGTCTACAGGTGCTTTAGAACAGGGCTCGCCAACCTTTTGGACCTCAGGGACCACTAACTGGTTCTGTGGGTGTGGCCTAATTTGTGGGTGTGGCTTGGTCATGTGACTGGCTGGGCATAGCTTGTATGTAAATATTATAAATATTTATATAAATATTGATTTTTTTTATAAAAAAGAGCAACTTTTACCCAAAATCAAGCAAAGCAGGCAGGCAGATTGAGTTGCTCACAGAATCACATTCATTCAGAAATCTATCTATCTGCCATCGGTTAGCTCAGTCTCTCAAATTTGCTTGCCGTGAGTCTGCACTGAATTTGCTTGCAAGCAAACCTTCAGTCCTAAGGGAAGTTTGGCTATACTTAAAAGCAGAGCCGAAGATCTAAAGACTAGCTAGAAAGCAAGAAATCCAACCATTTCCTGCTTCCTAGCTAATCTAAATCTCCCAGCACAGCAGAACAGATGATGGTCAGAAAAAGGAAAAATAGAAATTTAGCAGGCAAGTTTACCAGGTAAGGAATGAGTGGGCGGGGAGGGTTTCCGCGGACCATATGGGCGGCGTAGCCTTGTGTTTCTGCGCAGCCTGGATTAATTGCTTTGGGGGGGTGCTCTGGGGGTGAGATTTCTCTGCAGCCCACCAAATTTTCTCATGGCCCACCAGTGGGCCGTGGGCCACCAGTTGGCAACCATTGCTTTAGAAAATAGCTTGACCCCTTCCTCTCTGTGGCAGCCCCTCAAATATTGGAAGACTGCTATCATGTCTCTCCTGGTCCTTCTCTTTACTAGACTAGCCAAGCCCAGTTCCTGTAACCGTTCATCATATGCCTTAGTCTCCAGTCCCCTAATCATCCTGGTTAGTCTTCTCAGTACTTTTTCTAGAGTCTCAACATCTTTTTTATAATGTGGTGAACAAAACTGGATGCAGTCCTCTAGGTGTGGTCTTACTAAGGCTTTATAGAGTGGTATTAGTACTTCCCTTGATCTTGATTGTATCCTTCTGTTAATACAATTTAGGATTGCATTAGCTTTTTTGGCTGCTGCTGCACACTGCTGGCTCATATTTAGCTGGTTGTCCACTGAGACTCCAAGATCCCTCTCACAGTTACTGCTATTGAGCCTGGTTTCACCCAGTCTATATGTGTACTTTTGGTTTTTCTTGCCTAAGTGTAGGACTTTACTTTTCTCTACATTGAATTTCATTTTGTTAGATATGGCCCAGTGTCCTAGTCTGTCAAGATCCATCTGGATCTTGAGCCTATCTTCTTGGGTGTTAGCTATTCCTACCAGCTTAGTATCATCTGCAAATTTGGTAAGTTCCCCTTCTATTCCCTCATCTAAGTCGTTAATGACGATATTGAAGAGTACTGGGCCTAAGACAGAACCTTGTGGCACCCCACTGCTTACTTTCCTCCATGTAGACTTAGACCCATTAAGTATGAGACTTAATGGGTACTCATTGAGTATGGTTTGTCAGCCAGTTGCGAGTCCATCTAGTGGTGGTGCTATCTATTCCACTTTTTTCTAGCTTACTAAGAAGTAGATTGTGGTCTACTTTGTCAAATGCCTTGCTGAAATCTAAATACCGTATTTGCCGGCGTATAAGACGACTGGGCGTATAAGACGACCCCCCAACATTTCCACTCAAAATATAGAGTTTGTTATATACTCGCCGTATAAGACTACCCCCTCTTCCACACACCTTCCACTTTTGCACTTTTTTTTTTTTTGACGCACTTTTCTGCTTTGGACAATTTTGAAATGAGCTAATCCAATTTTGAACCAAGAATATGCAAATAGCTATGGAGTTTAGAAATGAGTTTTAAAAATATTTTTCATTGCTTACCATTAAGCGTAAAATATGTTGTAAATAAAATGAGAACACAGGAAACGTTCTCTTCTCAATACAGCTGATCTCTCTCTCTCTCTCTCACACACACACACACACCAAAAACCCGGACACTGAAAAGGCTGCCAAGGAACAGTATATTCAATGCCTTCTCTTTAATCAAGAAACAAGGAATTCCTTAGAATCTTTTTTTTTCCCCAAGTGGCCCTCTTTAAAAAAAAAAATGGAGGTAACACTTTCATTCAAAAAATCTTCCAGTATCTGGAGTCGCTGAGACATATTGAAGTGAGGCAGGAGAGTAAGTGAAATTTGAAATGATCCAGCTACCGTTTTCTTCCCCTCCCGCCCAAAGGCCATTATCTCCACGTCAAAACGAACGAGGGGAGGCAAAGAAGCCAAACACGCTAAAAAGGATCTCTTTATTTTCCTACACAAGGTCACACCTACTTTTCCGCATTCAAAGGACAACCTCTCCTCACCACCACCACACACACACACACACCCCAATACCCGCAAACAATGTTCTGGGCATTAATCACCATTGCTACATTAACCTGGTAAATTTATACCCTGCCTCCCCCAGTGTTGCTTTTGACGGCAGGATTTCACACAGCGGGGCGCTCGCTCGCTCTCTTCTCCGCTCTCCCACCGTTCGCACATGTTGGAAGCACCGTAAAACCTGATAACCCACCCGGGGGCTCCCCCATCCTTAACCTACAGCCGCCCACATGCAAAACCTGCGTGCAAAAAGAAAAAAAGAAAAAGAAAAGTACGCCGCACGTGAGGATCTTCGAATCCTCTCCTCCCCACACCGCTAAGGAAGGAAGAGGGGGAAAGGTTGCGCAGCGCGTGGCGAGTGACACCCGACACACACACACACACACACACACACAC